GCTTCTCACTCCTTCCAACTACGGGAATCTGAAGGGCCTTCAGAAAGACGTGTGAAACATGGATAAAAATGCATCAAAAAAGGAGGAGTGTGCGAGCGGTAGACTACTGTGCACATAAACATGGGATCTAACGAATGGTGTTCTACCTTGAGGTCAGAATTGGATTTTGCCCCAGCTTAAAAGGTAAAGCTGGTGACCTACTTAACCGATCCCGACCCATAACACATCCTGGAACTCGTTGTGAGGAGACGTATCTATAGGAGTTTAAATTTTTCCGTTTCATTCGCTTTCAGCGGAGTTATGGTAGTGCGACGGTCTTTGATAGGTGCGACGGTCAATCACCGTCATTTTTTCACATTCTGTGAGCGGTATTGTAGGTATATCGCTGACCGTGTATGTGTATTGGGTTAATACATGCTATTGAAACATTTTGTATGTGCGTTCAAAAGAAATGGACTTCAGCCCAAGTAAGGTTCAACCCACGAGAAGACGCTCTTTTTCTGCTCTAGGATAATTTGTTTGTCACTGTCTCCAGTATCTAATATTTGTGTTCAGAGAGATGCAGGGCTCAGAGCATGGATGATCGAGACGCCAAAATCAGCACGACTGCAGATTTGTGTTTTTCAAAAAACCAAGACACGCCTCACAACATTTACCCTACATATGGTGCAGAGTCCAATTGTACTGCTCAACGACTTACCAGGCTTGGGAAGATTCTACCCTGGTTAGAAGGTAGCATCTTTTTGCTGAAGAGCGTCTGACGAACCCAAGTCTGCGTTTTGTTTAGAACAACTCTGACAAAACCCTTTCAAGAGCTCATTTCATGGCCTGACTCAGGTCTGCAATTGAAAGACACCGTTGACGAGGCCAAAACACAGCGATATGATGTGCCAAACCAATATGTACATACACGTCAACCTGAAACAGAAGAAACTCGTCGAGAGAATGTACACAAACAGGGGCGAAATCTTCTATCACCGCATCAGCACTTTTCAGTGGGGGCTAAGCAAGTGGTAGCGCGACTGGTGACAAATTTCCAAGACAATAAAAAACCTTCGCAATGAGTTGCAGTGTCAGATTACGTAAGAAACAATCTCAACACATTAGAAATCACCCTTCATGTTCACAGGCTGGCGTCAGAGTCGGTATCCCGTCGCGCGATTCGCGCGGATGCGCCACGGATCGCGGACTCTGACACCAGCCACACGATTACGTGGGCCGTTTTTTTTCGTTTTGCTTCAGTAATGAAACAAAGTGATGAAAATAAATTAGGCTAGCTAACCGTTCTATAATTCCAGGGGCGATCATAGTGCAGAACTGAATATCAGCCAATCGCTTCATGGACCTTTTTGGAAACGTCGGAATTTGATAAAGGGAGTTCTAGTTTCAACTACATTTTCCTGAGATGCGGACTCGTCATATTATGTTGATTTTGAAATTATGCTTGGATGCTCGGCGGTGATTCTCACATCGCCGCAGATAAGAGTGTGGGAATTGGAAACAATACAGATCTAGAGAATAAAATGCTCGCGTTCCTTTATCTTTTCTTCACTGGTCGGAATGTGGATCGTCCTAGCTTTTCTTTTTGTGCTGCAAGCCGTGCACTGCATGAAAGATGCGGAAGAAACGGAATGGAATCGATATGGCTACCTTGTCAAGGTGGGTGAAGGTTTTTATTTAAACCGCCTCACGTGAAAATTTTTTCGGTTTTCCGCTCTCTTGTGAAGTGCTAGTCATTTTCCTTTAGATTGGAACTATTTGACTACTGTACGAAAGTAGAGATTTCGGTAGTGATGACAAACTAAATTGGCTCGTTTGACGGAATCCTCACTTTAATTATCACACTTTTTCAGCACATTTTACCCTCCCAGTCGACGTACAGAAGAGGGGCCGAAATTTCTCGAAATTTGATTCAGAGATTGGAAGTTAGCAGTCGGGTGTGGTTCAATCTGAAGAATAGGATGAATGAAAAATATCGCATGCGTCCGATGCGGAAGCGCCTGGCTCCACTCCACGTGCGCTGGCGCCATCAGATTCGCTCGGCTCCGGCGTATGTGGGAGGGGAGAGTACTGCATATGGTCCCTCGGGAAACGGATGACCACCTTCTTGTATCGTGGATCGCACTACAACAGTTAGCAAGTTACCAGCGAAGTTGGTCCTCCCACTTGTTCTAGCCGAGGTGCCCATGGCAGAGCACCAGGCCCTTTTGTGCTGACCATGAGTAAGCCCAGAATTCGTGCTCTTCGGATCAATTGGAGCAAGTTTCTCTCCAAGTCTGTCTTCAGGTGAACATTATTATACAGGTCCCTAATGTCAAAGGATTAGAATAGTGAGAGATAAGTAATGCTTATTGCTCATCTGAACCCTCCAAACACCGACCATAGTTATTGTGTAGTTCTGTGTAGTAATGTTTTTCGAATCAGGCTAAGCTAGTCAAATAAGCAACAAATCAAAAGCTGCGGGGGTTGCAAAGCGATTCATACAGCAGCATGAAGAAGTACATAGTATGTGCCGCAGATTGGTCATTGGTCGATTATTTGCAATAACCAATCATAAGTAATCCTACATGCACCCATGCTCCACTAATAAGGTTCGCAAAGGGCACTCTCGAAATCGCGACTATTCACCATATCCACCTCATTTCCTGTGTTTATACTTCAAGCTTTCCTCTTTTCCTATTGTGCATGAAAAAAAACTAACGCTGCACTATGTACATGGTCAAGCATTGAACGATATTGATTTGGACCTTAATAACGAGCTCCGTGCTGCGAATGACTGTGGAATTTACAGGTCCTGTCACAATCTCCCGTCAATGAGTCGCGAGTCATTGGGTGTACTGGTACCATGATAACTCCATCACTGATCCTCACCTCATCTAAATGCATTGCCACTGATGATGACGGAGAAACGTTAGTTCAGACTATTTATACCATCACTCACCCCCTTCATGCTTACCTTTATGATTGCGGAGCTTTTTGTTATAATTTTGACGGGTTTTCTTGGAATTTTTGCTTTGAATCACATTTAGAATATTAAGTGGGAACACGATGGTCATCTACTCCAAAGGGTCCACGTACAGAAAACGAGCCGTCAGCTCCATCACACAGGTTGATCGCATTGCCGTGCTTGAGATCATCGCCATCAGGGATAAGGTAAGAAAAACTGTTGTAGAGCTGCTACATTGTCATGACATCAACTTATTTCAAGTTCCTCAAGATGTTCCCCTCAGAAACATTAATTCTGTTTTAGCACATGGATACTCTGTGCCAGAAAAGTCAGCCGCAGCTACCCCTTCAAAGGCACATTGTACCCTTTCCCGCAGTAAGACTCCACTGAATGCCATCTGCAGGTGTTCCTACTCCTCGACTTATCCACCATTCCTCAGATTGTACCTGACCCTCCCCACAAAATGACGGTGACGCGGTGGAGGATATCAGAGCAAGAAAAATCTAGGGATACCTTGGTGATTCCAAGGTTTCTGGAAGCTCGTTAACTTTTCTCAGAAAATCGAATAGCTTTTTTAAATTCCATGTAGGAATTCAAAAGAGCTATTCGATTAATCTGCCATTCTCACCAAATACGATTATCCCCCTAGAGAGCTGAATAGGCCTTCTTCTTATCAAGGAACCGT